GCGAGAAATTACTAGAGCTATTGTAGTTTTCCCACGCTATGCATTATGAGCAAAAGCGTCTGATTGGCTAGTAAGCTATCCAATCCTTGGTTGAACCCTCCATGGTTGAAGATGGTTTAATTTTATTCCAACCTTTTTTTTTTTTTTTGATCTGTCTTTTTTTTTTTTTTTAAAACAATAGTCCCGGGAAATTCTAGATCTTCCCAATAGTTTAATTAATTAGGGCCTCCATTTGCAGCCCATGAGTGGGTGTCTGGAGTGGACCACGATCCTCTTCCCAGAATATTATAATAGCCCCCATCACCTGACCATAAATATCCTGGACAAGGGAGAGCACAGTTAACTGTCCACCCTCCAACACTACTTTGTACTGTGTAGTTGTCTCTCAACCCTTTTATTTCCCACTTGCTAGCTTTACCATGTTAGTATACCTTGCGGATTGGGGCATAGCGAGGTTTAAAGCCTCCCTTATATTAATATGGGTGTCTTATTGACTCCCATAGGCTATTTACTTATTTCCTTTTTTAATGTGGCTAACAAGCTCTTGCGAGCCACTACATAAATCTGCTGCCGACGGTTATTTAACTATTTGACCTAGTGCTGCCAGCAGGCAAATAGTTTGGATTTGGTTTTTTTAAATCTAGGGCTCTGATTTCTAGCATTTGGTCCGGATTTCAGGTGTCCAGCAGTGGTTAGTCCGGCTGAAATCCAAGCCTAATTCAGGCTCATTCTGGGTCTGAATGAGAAAATCGAGACATTGTTTTTCCCCATTCAATACAGAGCCATTTGAACTTTAGTGAATTGCCCTGATAATCTACATATCACCCACACAAAATTAGTCAATAAAAGAGCAGATTATTCCATTTAAGTGAGTTCTCTGAAGCTTTCCTTGTAACATCCTATAAATTACCTCAAGACTATAAATCAGGATTTTCACATAATCTGAAAAAAAAGTAAGTGCATGCTGTCCCCATTTTCCCCATTTAAAATTTGACAGTATTTTTTTAAAAGTGATTTTTATATAAGGTCATTTAAGATCATGGTGTCAGGTGTTTTGTTGCCAGACATTTTATTTTATTTTTAAATTTTTATTCAAAATCAAAAACTCATTACAAGTGAAAGAACTACATCACAATGACACTTAATAAGTTCCGGAATATTAGTGGTTGTACAGCGTCGTTACATATGAGAAGGTATACATCCATGTGCACAAGGTAGGCATCTATGTCCAAAAATAATTTGGAGTTGGAGTTATGTTGATAGTAATGGAGTGTTTCCCCACCCTGATTAGCAGCCAAGGTGGTAAAACCCCTGAGAATTTTGAGTCGAGGGGGTGGTTTGGGGATTGGGAGGGGTGGGGGGGTGGTAATATTCTTCACCCCGCTAAGTTTGGTACATGTGTAGTATAGGGTATTCCTTCCAGAGGGGTTTACTGGAGGTCCATTCACTCTGCCTTGTACGGTCCTAGGTTGTGGAGGAAGGGGGACAGCTCCTTACCTTTGCCTTAGTGTGGATTACCATATGTCTTTAGCAGTACATATTACAATCAGTAGTAAATATGAAGATATTTTAAACAATATGGCGTCATCCGGTATGTACCCTAGGATTTACAATTTTTTTAAATATATAAATTTCAGTTGGTGATTGAAAACATAGGTAATCATCCTATCATCAGAATCCGTTTCACCCCTATACAGGGTCGCCTCTTGTGGGGATGTGTAGGGTGGAGCGTTATGTTTGGGTAAGGAGAAGTTCAAACTGGGTTATCCCAGAGGTATTTACACCAGGGGGGCCCACGTGAGGGTATAATACTGGTACTGTTTCAAAATGGAGTAGCACGTTTCCTCTAGGATTCTGGTGGTTTCAACTTTCTGAATCCAGTCCCTTAGGGATGGGAATTTTGGTTTCTTCCAAAACATTGGAATCAGTTGGTTTGCTGCTGTTATAAGGTGTTGGAGTAGGGATGTCTCAGTTTTTGGTAGGTTACTCGGGAGAAGTAGGAATAGAAAAGTTTCTGAACAATTTGTAACACTTTGTAAAAAGTCTTCTGTATAGGTGAAACGCGTTAGTGTGTTACTTACTTTTCTTTTTATTTGTTAATAAAATTAATCTGCATTGTACCCCTGGACCTTCATTGGACATCTTTTATTGAAAAAGCTGTATCTCATATGCCCGGGTGGGGGACAAACCACCTATGCTGCAAAGCACCTAGCAATCCCTATTTGCTCATCCATTCATCATCTGGAATACACCACGAGGATTATTGACACAGGGATACGATACCAGAGAAAATCAGGACCATCCTAACATCCACAGGAAGGATAGGAAAAACAAGAAGGGTGGTGGGGTATGTTTATATGTCAACCATGAGTTAAAGTCAAATCTTAGGCATGTGGAGTGTGACGAGGAAAAGGTGGAGGCTTTATGGGTAGATATCTGCTTGGGGCAAACAAAGGGAAATCAATTATTGGTTGGGATATGTTATAAACCATCTAATGTAAATATTATTGAGGAAGAACAGCTGTTAGAGCAAATTGAGAAAGCTGCAAATCAAGGTAACACGTTAATTATTGGAGATTTTAATTATCCAGGCATAAATTGGGAAAGAGGGACTAGTACTTCAGCAAGGGGCATCAGGTTTTTGAATGTGTTAAATGACACCTTTATGTCACAACTGGTACAAGCACCAACTAGAAAGGATGCTTGTCTGGATCTTGTCATAACAAACAATGTTGATCTTTTAACCAACATTCAAGTAAGGGAGCTTTTGGGAAATAGTGATCACAATATGGTAAATTTTGAAAAAAACTCAAAAAAGCAAAAGCAAGTGGGATATACTAAAACATATAATTTTAAAAAAGCCAATTTCAATAAGGTTAGGGCAGCTCTACAACATATCGACTGGCATAAACTCCTTAGTGATAAAAACACTGAGAATAAATGGAAACTATTCAAACAAATATTAGAAAGGTACATTTCTCAGTATGTACCATTGGGTAATAAATATAAAAGAAACAAATTAAAACCAATGTGGCTTAGTAGAGAAGTAGAACAAGAGATTAAAACTAAGACAAGGGCATTTAAATCAGACAAATCAAAGGCATCCTATTTAAGATATAAGGAAGCCAATAACGCTTGCAAAAAGGCAATTAAAGTGGCTAAACTAGAAAATGAGAAATTGATAGCTAAAGAATGCAAAACCAACCCCAAAATTTTTTTCAAGTACATCAATTCTAAAAAAACAAAAAATGAAAGTGTAGGTACACTTGAAACAGAGTTGGGTTTATTAGCTAATGAAGACCAGGAAAAAGCAGAAATTTTAAATAACTATTTTTCTTCAGTATATATTAATGAGGATCCTATGGCAAGAGATATGCAAATGATTGCTGCAAAAAACTTGCAAATAACTTGTGATTGGATAACTCGAGACAAGGTGCTACAGCTATTAAAGAAAATTAATGTAAATAAAGCTCCGGGGCCTGACGGTATTCACCCACAAGTACTTAAGGAGCTAAGTGGGGAAATAAGTGAACCTCTGTATTTAATTTTTCAAGATTCTTTTGTTTCAGGTGTTATACCGGAGGATTGGAGGAAGGCAGATGTTGTTCCTATATTTAAAAAGGGTTCAAAATCCTTGCCTGGAAATTATAGACCTGTGAGCTTGACTTCTGTAACTGGGAAAATATTTGAAGGGCTATTAAGGGATAATATTCAGGAATTCATTGGGAAGAACTTTGTTATTAGCAATAATCAGCATGGTTTTATGAAACATCGGTCATGTCAAACTAACCTAATTGCATTCTACGAAGAAGTAAGTAGAAGTATAGATCAGGGTGTTGTAGTGGATGTGATCTACTTGGATTTTGCCAAGGCATTTGATACGGTTCCTCACAATAGGTTAGTCTTCAAACTAAAAGAAATTGGTCTAGATGAATATTCTTGTTCTTGGGTAGAACATTGGCTTAAGGATAGAGTACAACGAGTTGTAATTAATGGTACATTTTCAGGCTGGACAAAAGTGGTAAGTGGTGTCCCTCAGGGTTCTGTTTTGGGACCACTTCTATTTAACATATTTATAAATGATCTTGAAATAGGCATTGTATCAGTGTTTGCAGATGACACAAAACTTTGTAAAGTAATAAAATGTGAGCAGGATATTGCTTTGCTGCAGAGAGATTTGGATCGATTGGGGGACTGGGCACTAAAATGGCAGATGAAATTTAACATAGAAAAATGCAAAGTTATGCACTTCGGGGTTAAGAATGCACAAGCAACTTACACACTAAATGGTAGTGAATTAGGGGTAACCACACACGAGAAGGATTTGGGAATTGTTATAGACAACAAATTAGGCAGCAATATGTCAATCTGCAGTTGCTAAGGCCAGTAAGATTTTGTCATGTATAAATAGGGGCATAAATTCTCGGGATGAAAATATAATTCTGCCTCTTTATAAATCGCTGGTAAGACCACACCTTGAATATGCTGTGCAATTTTGGGCACCTGTTCTAAAGACGGATATCATGGCACTGGAGAGGGTCCAGAGACGAGCTACAAAATTGATAAAAGGAATGGAGCATTTTAGTTATGAATAAAGGTTAAAAAAATGAAATCTATTTAGTTTGGAAAAACAGCGCCTGAGAGGGGATATAACTTTATACAAATATATTCGGGGCCAGTACAAACCTTTATCTGGAAATCTATTCATAAACAGGGCTATACATAGGACATGAGGTCACACATTTAGGCTGGAAGAAAGGAGATTTAATCTAAGGCAAAGAAAAGGTTTTTTACAGTAAGAACAATAAGGATATGGAATTCTCTGCCTGAAGAGGTGGTTTTGGCAGAGTCTATACAGATGTTTAAACTGCAATTGGATAAATACTTCCCAAAACATAACACACAGGGATATAATTTCTAATTAGTGGGGTAATAGCTGCTTGATCCAAGGAGACATCTGACTGCTATTTTGGGGTCAAGAAGGAATTTTTTCCTAGTTTGTGGCAAAATTGGAAGCGCTTCAGACTAGGTTTTTTGCCTTCTTTTGGATCAACAGCAATAACATTTGTGAGGAAGGCTGAACTTGATGGACGCAAGTCTCTTTTCAGCTATGTAACTATGCAACACAGACGGGGATTGTACCATCCATACGCTGTGATCTGGAGCTGATCTTGAGCTCCAGAAAAGTGTGAGTGCAATATATTTTTTTCCTTATATTCTGACTCTGCTGTTATAGACATACTACACTATATTAGTATCCCTGTCCCATTTTGTTTTCTCCCTTATATTGGCTCCATTAGATTCCACACAAGGACTTTAATTGTTAAGCGCTGCTTCCCCCACTTTACTTGCATCAAAGACCAGAAAGAAGAGAGTCTGGTTTGGGAAAGTTTTAGCTGCTGTACACATAAGGATCAAGCGCCAAAAATCTCACTTGCTGCTATATATAGAAAAGTTTCTTGTTTGAAGGGGATTGTTACCTCAAGAATTGTATGGACTAGCCCTACCACACGTAACCAGAACGTCTGTATCTCCAGGCATACCCACCATATGTGCACCGAGCTGCCATCCAGTTGGTGGCATCTCCAGCAGTGGTTGGGCATGTGCGTAAACAATGATAGGAGTTTTACAGGTGTGTAGTGCCACCTGACTATTCTTTTGTAGTTGCTCTCTTGAGCTGCCAGGTTCTGAGAGGAGGTATGTATGAAAATTTTGTGCCACTGTTCGGTTTTGATGGAGATATTGAGTTCTTTTTCCCAGCTAGATGTATAAACTGGGAGGTGTTTGGGTTGGGTGGTGGGGAGCAATGTGTACATGGAGGAAATCAATTTCCTTTTGATAGAATGTGTGATACAGTTGAATCAAAGGTCGTGTGCGCATGGGATCCCTTGTTTATATATTGTCCGGTCTGGATGAAATTTACTAATTGGTTGTATTGGAATTTTCGTACGGCAGAATGGGTCTCATTTGGGAGGAGAGCAGCGATTTAACCCCAGCATCGTCAACTAGGTCTTCTAACGTCAGGTAGGGGGTCGTATTCCCGTGGTTTAAATAGTGGGTTTTGTGTTATCGGGTATAATGGTGATGGATAGGGTGATATGAGTTGGTGGTTTCTAACGTGAGCCCACATATTCAAAGTTGGTGTTATGGTTGGGTGTGCCTTGTGACGTAGGAAGGTCAGCCTGGATTTATGCTACGGAATGGTGTGAATGAGGACCCTGAAAAAAGAGTCCACTAGTTGTACCCACTGTTTGGTAGAACCCGCCTCCAACCAGTCATACCCCCTGGCCATCAGGATAGCTTTGTGGTATGATTCAACGTCTGAGAGGCCCAAACCTCCACTTTCCTTCGGTCTCATGAGTAGGGAGTCGGATAATCTGGGATGTTTGTGGGACCAGATGAAGGCAGTAAATATTTTGCGTAACGTGGTGAACAGGAGTTTGGGCAGGGCAATGGGCAGCACTTGCAGTAAGTACAGGAGTCGAGGCAGAACGTCCATCTTCAGGATGTTCAGTCTGCTGAACCATCCGAAGTGAGGCATGTTCCAGGAGGACAAACCTTTTGAAATGGATTGGATTTATTGGGGGAAATTGCTGTCATACACTTGTGTGAGTGAGTTTCGAATTGAAACCCCCAAATACTTAAGGGAAGTGGCTGCCCACAGAAGATGTAGGATTGTTGTAGTGACAATTTGGTAACGTACGGTACTTGAGTGGAAGAATTTCGCATTTACTAAGGTTGGCCTGGAAGTTAGAGAGTTAGCTGTATAATAGAATTCCCTGCATAATATAGGGTAGGGATTTGATAGGGTTCAAAACAGTGAACAGCATGTTGTCTGCGAATGCAGATATCTTATGCTCGGTTTCACCCACTCGTATGCCCTGGATGTTGGGATTATCTTCTATGCCCTGGAGAAAGGGTTCCAGGACATGAACAAATAAGAGGGGACAGAGAGGGCACCCCTGTCTTGTGCCGTTTGAGATAGTTACTGGGTCTGATAACTGCCCATTTATGCGCAGTCTCGCTGTTGGTGTAGAGTTTAGCGTTCCGAGCCAGTGCAGCCAATTGGGGCCAAAGCCCATGTGTTGCAGTGTTGTCAATATCAGGGTCCAGTCCACCCTATCAAAAGCCTTTTCGGCATCAATTGACAGTAGGAGGCGTGTACCTTTTAGTAAATAGCTTGAGATCTACATTGTTGAGTGAAATGGGTTTATAGCTCCCACAGAAGGTTGGGTCTTTCACTGGTTTTGGTAGGAGGGTAATTGTGGCATTTAATGTTTGTGGAGGGAGAGATGGTGTCTTGAGAAGGGAGTTGAATGAGTTGAGAAAATGGGCGGATAGTGAGGAGGAGAATGTTTTATAGTATTTTGCAGTGAGACCGTCCAGGCCTGGACTTTTCTCGAGGGGTAATTATTTTATTACAGCATAATATTCATAGCTCATTATAGGAAGATCCAAGGAGCGCTGAACATTCGCCAGTATTCTGGATTTGATCTGTCGTGTGAGGAAGTCTCTTATTTCCGTATGGGAGGGTAGGGTGGCTTTTAAGTTGTATAGTCTCGGAAAGTTGCAGTTATGTATGTCATTAAGTGTGATTTGACTCCCTTCCCAGTCATTCTGGAGGAGATAAAGGTGGTGTCTCTCTGCCTTTTCAGAGCGTGCACTAGTAATCAGCCACTTTTACCCCCTTGGGCATAATATAGACTTTTGGTAATAGCGCGTTTTCGCGTCGTCTGCATGTTCAGGAGAATGTTTCAGGTCCTCTTTTCTACCAGTTGTTTGTATGTAGCTGTCACAATCATCATCGTGCCATACACAATTTAGGCCTGGCTGGGATTGAACCTGGGTCTCCTACTTCCTGGGCACATCTGTTCCTGATAAGTGGCTTATATATCCCTATATAAACCCCGTCTTGGTTGTTACACATTGTCAGATCGTTTTGTTCCTGTTTTGTATTCCTGCTGTTCATCTGACTCCTGGTTTTTGATCCTCTGCTCGTCTTCCATTTATGCCTGTTTGCCACCTGTCACCTTTTCGTACATTCGCGCCTATGTCTCCACTCGCAAGTGTATGTAAAGTGAGTTATGTACAATTCCATATTTGCAGATGGAATTAAATAATGATATTTACTGGTAATTTGACAAGTTTAAAATATCAAGCTATTATCCAGGGATATTGACCTATCTGAATTTATGGATAGTTAATATTTAATCATAAAGTATCTGCAGTTTAAAACTTAGTTAGAAATATTATTTTGGTTACTGGATGGCAATGAATAGTTAAGTTGACTATTTGTGTGAGAAACTTTTGTATTTTGAGTTGCAATGTTTAAGTATTTAGCCTGTGAGAATTAGCCAGCAGTGAGTGAGTTGATTCTCTGTGTGATTCTAGCAAACTGTCAGCATCTAAGGGTTTGCAACTTGAAGCTGCAAGTTCTGTGTTCCGTTCTGTGTAAAGGAATTCTAAAGCCGAAGGATTCCTTTAGCTTTGTTGAAATGCATATGTGATGAAATAACAATTAAATTCTAGAGGAATTATATGCGATTTTGCATGTAACTACTTTAGAAATGTATTCAACTTAATGTTGCTGGATATTATTGCTAATGAGATATTGATTATTCATATGTATTGAAACTTGTACTAATACTTGCCAAGTGTTCTGATCTACCGGTGAATAATTTCTAGGAAGACTAAACTGCTGACAATCTTTAAGTGATTTAGAAATTATTTTTAATTCTGGTTATTTGTTGCCATATTTTTATACTTTTTGTTATACCTAAATATTCACTGATATTGTCATGCATGTTACTTATTATTATTATTATTATTAATTATTTGTCACAATAAATTATATTTTTATAATCGGTTGTAATTATTGTGTGAAATACGAATCCTTTAGAATAAACATACTCCATGGTCTATAAGAGTTACAATAGTTGGTAACCCTTCGCTTTAAATCAATTAAGGGGAAACAGTGCCAAATTATAAAATTTTGCTATCAATGAAAAAATATTACATATAAAGAACTAATGAGACTGGTAAACCCCTCAGAAAGGGGTATAGAAACCAGATTCACAGGAAATACCTCAAGGTACAATATAACTTTATTAGAAAAAATACATAAACTATATAGAAAACAAAGTGTTCTGAAAAGAGTGTAGTGTAGAAAACACGATGGTTAAATGACTCTGTAGGTTTTGTTCTAAATGTATGTAGTGAGCTCCATAACTGTGGCAGGGGAGTAAAGATAAGAACAAAGTATCAAGTTGTTTCCAACGTGTCCTCACAAACAGTTGTTGATATACTCAGGAAAAGCCCTGTCTAGTATAAACAAAGAGGACAGGGAAAACGCAAACAGAAAATATATAAATAAATACAGTAGCTTTCTAAATGTAATGAGTGAACGCAAACGGTCACATATGACATAAGCATTGGAAACAGAACAAAGTAGCAATCTGCTTCTAGTATGTCCTCCCAGTAATTGTAGATATATACAGGGGAAAACCCTGTTTTATATAGGCAGAGAGAAAATCAAAAAGCAGACTAGAAAGTAGGTCCAGGACAGAAGCCTATGGGGGAGGAGGTGCTGTAGGTAAAAGTCTGATAAGATGATATAGATCACACAGAATGTGGTATAGATAGGGGAAAAACTAGAAAAGAGACTAATCCTAATAGAAGTCAAATGGTAGTCTATATAGATCTAAACTGCCCCTAAGAGATTGTAACACTACCAGACATCAGACCGTCGGTGAAGTAAGCGTATAGCTGAAACTGACAGCTGTCAGGAATAGGGCTAAGTAAGGGGACGCACAATATGATAATAAATGGATAGAAATTCCAAAGCTAATCTAGTGCTGACACCAAATCACCCCTGCTGCTTGCAGACAGCCCCGCCCCCCTCTAGAATGCTAAAGTCCTAAAGTAACCTAGATTGTAAAGGAGTCAGACCATCGTTATATCAAATTAAAAGCAAAGTAACAGCAGCCCGACCTGCGTTTTGGCGGTAACTCAGCCTTTGTCAAGAGCTGGAGGCATTCACTCACAAACCCACCCTTATTGGTAGATCACCTCCGCCCAGAACGGGGACGGGCCAATCAACTGGCTTGTTCGCTTTGATGGGCGGGATAGCAATCGAAAAAAGTTGAGTCCGAAATGCACTTGTGCGCTTGCGTGAAGCAGTATGCTTGCCAAGAAAGCAAAAGCTCGTTGCTATACTGCCTTAAAGTAACATGTGAGTATCCCCAGAAGGAGAGGGAGTCTATTAAGTAGCGCATGCGCATATAGTGCAATCGGTTAGTTAAAGAGCCACATTGTACGGTACAGTAACTGTTAAGGTGTCAGTTGCAGTGTCAAATGTGGTAGATCATAGGGTAAGAGTAATTGAAGAGTAATTGAAATTAACATATTCAGATAATCAGGTGTGGACAGTCTGGAATGGTATAGATGTCAGAAGGCATTACAGTTCCTACCTAAATATATGTAAAAATGTATTCAGACCCCACTTCTGTTATTTAATTGGTCAATACAGGACTTGGATACATCAGCTCTTGTAGTATTAATTATTAAATTATTAGTTACTAGAGTAGCTACCCATATGAGCTCCATGTAAATTCATGCAAACAATAATTGAGTCCCTTCTATACATCCAGAAAGGAATCGACTTCCACTGTTATATGACCCATGATCAATTGGAAAGGGAGTTAGAGGTTATGAGTCTGTACACTAAATGAGAGTTGATTTTACTATTTGTAAGTTATGTTATGATTTGTCTTATTCACTTACAGGTTCTACACTCCTCTTCTATAAAGAACGTTTTATACAAATTGTCTAGTAAGTATGTTGAAATGGTAAAGTTCTTTAAAGTGGCTCTGTCATATCATATTTATCATTCCTCAACCAATTCTTGTTTTCTTCCGGTCTTCTAATCCGTTCTTCTTTTCTTCCTTTCTTTTCTATTCCTTAAAATACATAAGAGAAAGTAACTTGGCAAACATTGACAAAGGATGGAGCTTAAGGCAAGCTCCCCTTCCTTTGTCAAGTAAAATCATAGAATACTTACCTCTGCTACAATCTTTTCTGTCTTCCACTCCTTATTGTGCAAGATCAGAATCATAGGGGAAGGAAAAAGGCTTCCAGGTTACTATAGATGGAGCCAGTTAGAAAGAAGATTCTGCACTATAAACAAGGCATAGTTATAATTAGAACTATTTATAGAGCTCGTCAGCAGAGCTGTGCAACAGAAAACAAGACAAACCTTTAATCCTAACAAAGCATGTATGACATAGGAGAACATAAAGTGAAGAGGGCTCTACCCAAACAAGCTAACAATATAAAGAGATGAGGGGCAAATATTCAAAGATAAGTAAGAAAATCAATCGATTTGAAGGTACCCAAGGATGGGAGGGGCTTTCCAGTTTGCAAGCAGAGGTTTTCAACAATCAAGGTGGAAAACAACAAAAGCATGGACAATGGCAAAATATATTTTTAAGATGAAAGCAACAGTATTTGGCGATTGGTTTCATGGGAGTGGTAAAGGAAAGGTCAGAGTCAAAGAGTATCCCAAGAGGTTATGATCGCTCTGCAGCTTTAGAAGGATGAAAGAAGGAGGGAATGGAAGTTGATCACCATGTCTGGGGGTGTGTGAGAGTTGGAGGCCGCCATGCGACATGAAGGCAGGGGTAGCACATTTTATCTGCTTTGTGACGAAAGAGAGAAGATGTATGTTTAAACACATATTGGGGGTAGAGGATTGTTAAATTGCTAAGGAGTGATCATATTTGGCATGGAACAAGCCTGGAAATAATCTGTTGAATTGCCAGAGATAAGAAAAGCAGAAGAATATAATGTACATTTAAAATTCATCATTTTAAGTATATGGGCCAACATAAAGAGAGAACATGATGTAAAATGTTAAGTGAAAACTTTAATACTAGTGACTACAATTCAGTCAATGTTTTGTTGAAAAAATATCTATCTTCTGTGTCTAACAAGGATCCAGGGGAGCACAGAGTTAAAAAAAAACAAATGACTAGGACTAGGATGCAAAAAGAGTCAGTTGTGGCGACAATCAACCCCTTAAGGACCAGTCTTCTGGAATAAAAGGGAATCATGACATGTCACACATGTCATGTGTCCTTAAGGGGTTAAAAATAAAAAAGAAAGGATATGTACCCACGATGAGCTGCTTGAACAGTGATTTTGGTGCATAACACATACTGTCTTCCATGAATTTGAAGGATTGTAAATGAAAATAATAGGACATTCAGTAAATAATGAGAGACTAAATCACAAGGCCTTTTTTTAAGTACAGTAAAAAATTTATCTCAAGTGAAATCTAATGGAGGGAAAGAATTCTCCTGTATAAATCTAATGAGGGACTACAAACAACTAGTTAGCCTAAGTGATAATGTATGGCTAAATACTACCCACCAAGTCAGATCAATTTCCTTTCTATCTAATTGCTGTGTCCTTCTAAATTCCCATTGCTGAAGGCTCTCCGGTACCATGGGTCCTGTAACTATCCCACTACAAGTGGGATATTTGCAGGGGGGGTTCACATGCTCAGTATGAACACATTCTACAACTTTATGATTTAGTTGCTAATAAATTAACACTAAGATGCAGATGGTATCTATTATTATGTTTAAAACCATTTGGGATTATAAAACAATGGGTTTTATATTAATAAACTAGAAATATTTTGTTAGTTTTAAACCTGAAACATTTTGATGACTAATCATCATGATAGTTGCAGAGACACAAACTTTATTTACATATCCTTAATCTAACTATATAATCATTTGGTAATTAATAATGTGCATATTTATATCTTTCAGGCAAGATGTTCTTTAGACAGATGGATATCTCCGTTAAGAGTGGAAATCATTCCAGTATATGCTCTTCAACAATGTTCAAATGATTGTTTGTATGTTACCAATGTTATATTTATTATCCTTTATGTTATCTGTTTAAAAGCAAAACAATGTTACTTCATGTTAATAAAATGCATTTAATTTATTTTTGGTTTTAGTTTCATTGTACCCTTGCACTAACAAGAGTATACAATACAAAATATATTTTTTAATAAATCAATCAATTATACCAACAGGCTTCAGCCAATGTGTTGGATTCTCCAATGAGAGAAAAGGCTAAGTCTGTTTACTGAATAGCAATTCTTCCATTGAAGTCTATGAGAAAATTAATCAATATTTTTAATTTTTTGCCAATCAATTTTTATTGAGGTAAGTGCACACTATAAGAATAGTTTTCCATGAGTAATAACAGGTACAGTAGGCTGGTTTGGCGGGCTTTTATGTTCCTGGGAGACAAAGGGACGGTCTCTTTTCCCACGCCTTGGCTCATGGGATGAAGACCCCCCCTATTTTCCTGGGTGAGAGACCCCCGCGCCTGAGTGGCGGGCTTTCCATGTTTGGGAGATGAAGGAACAGCGTCCCCAATCATAGAGGATCCTGGGATAACCCTTGTTTATGTACGTTGGAGACCCCTTGCATGGGGCTATGCATAAAAGCTGTGTGTGGCAATAAAATTGTGTTGTACCTCCAGAACTGTGTATTGTCCAGTTACTGGGGAGGGAAAAGGGTCTCTTGATGGCGCGGCGCCTGGCTTACTACAGAAAAACCTCCTCAGAGGAAACTCGAACCAAGCTCTTCTCAGATGCACAATCCTATATCTTGGATCATAGGAATAGGGCAAACCCCACACAGCCCGATGTGGAGAGAGGTCCTCGGGGAGTCCGGCAACCCCTCCACAAAATCCCAAATTGCCCTATGGCACCTTCAAGGAAGCAGAGGAGGGCATTGACGACTTTCTGCAGTACTTCGAACACCTGTGCATCCTAAACAAAGTCACCCACACAGACTGGGTCCCCATTTTGGCCAGGAAGCTAGCGGGGAAGGCGGCGGATTCCTACCAGGCCGTACCCGAAGACGAGCTCCGGAATTACCATTTTGTAAAGCAGGTCCTACTAGCCAGGTATGCTGTAACCCTGGAGGCCTATCGCAGGAAGTTCAGGGAGACGAAGAAAGGGGAGAAGGACTCCCATGCGGAGTGGGCTTGTCGCATAACCTGAGCCACCCAGAACTGGATGAATTCACAGAGGGCAAAGTCTCCCGAAGAGATCCTCCAGCTGTTTATGCAGGAGCACTTCTGCAATGGGCTCCCTACCAAGGTGCAAGAATGGGTGAGAGACAGACAGCCCTAGACATTAACGCAAGCAGACCAGCGGGCCAACGAGTACGGAGATACCCGATGGCCCCAGCGCCGCTGCCCTTCACAGCTACCGACCCCCCTTGCGACCCAGTCCACAACCTAACCCCGTTACAACAGCCCCACTCTGAGATTCCCCAGCTTGGATACCACCAACGCTACTTTCAGTGCTACCAGCCTGGTCACGTCAAGAGAGATTGTCCCTAGTCCAGGGACCGCCCACGGTGGGTGCACACAGTGGCCCCACCTGCCCCGCGAGCAGCAGCCCTCTGTTACCAGGCTGCCCCAACGGACACCACGACCCACAAAGAAGAAGCCTTCCCTTCCTGTATGAGGTGAATCCCCTCCAAGCTGCCACCGACAACCGTGACCACCTCAGGCAGCCGGTCCGGAACAGGTACACTGTATAGGGTCTGTGAGACACCAGAGACACCCTGACTCTAGTTCAACCCCGGCTGGGTGTTAGATGGGAACGGTTTACCTGGGAGCAAGGAAGGTCCGGGAAAGCTCCTACTACCACCAAACAGCTAGTGGCACCCAACTTCAACAGCTAGTGAAGATAGCTCACAATGTTCCCCTGGCAGGGCATTTGGGAGTGAGTCGTACTAAGCATCAACTCATCCAAAGCTTTTTCTGGCCAAGCATCTTGAAGGACCTGAGGCAGTATTACCAGACCTGTGATGTCTGCCAGAGGGTGAAGAAGCAGGGCAACTGACGCAAGGCCAAGCTCCAGCCCCTACCCATCATTGAAGACCCCTTCGGCAGAGTAGCTGTCGTCATCATAGGTCCCCTGGCTAAGCCTAACCCCTATGGAAGAAATGTATTCTGACCATTGTGGACTACATGACTCAATACCCCTAGGCAGTCGCCCTGTGCAACATTTGGGCAGAGACTGTGGCCGAAGCCCTGATGTGAGTGTTCTCCCGGGGAAAACCCATCATCTCGAATCGGGGCACCCAGTTTACGGCCGAGATGACTAACCAACTGTGGAGGTTATGCAGCATTAAACCGATCCTAAGCTCCCCCTATCATCCCCAGACTAATGCCTGTGCGAGCGCTTCAATGGCACGTTGAAGCAGATGCTCCGTACCTTTGCAGCAACCCGCAAGGATTGGGAAAGATTCCTGCCACAGCTCCTGTTTGTATATCGGGAGTGTGACGGACCGCCTGCCACCCCGACTGGGTTCCTCTATCGACCGATGCTCCTAGTGCTCGCCAAGGACCATCAGCACCGCACTCGACACCATAACCACCGCAAACCCCACGAACCGCCGCAGCTTGTTTGGCGTTTCGTGGTCCTCCACCCACCGTGGTTCCAGTGGGTGAGCCTCTCCTTAGTCCAGAGAGCTTCCAGTGGTTGCTTCCAGTGGGTTAACCTCTCCTTAGTCCAGAGAGCAGGAACAGGAAGCTTACTCTGGGGAGTATAGTGATTATAGCAATCCCCAGAGTGTAGGTAGTTCTCCAATCCCCCAAACATGAGCCAAAACTTCATGAAGGGTAGAACAAGTCTGTTTAATGCAAGCCAGCACTCACAATTTTATACAATTCCTCAGGCCAGAGGCACAACCCCTAGGCCTGATGGAAAACAGGCACACATACCAATCAGAACAATACAACAATGTCCGACACTCCCACATACAGCCCAGAAGCCTTCCCTTTTGCCTGTGATACAATTAACTAAGACAATGGACTAACTCAATTAACTCTAAGCAGAAAAAACATACATTTTTACAAACCCCAAAAAGTACCCAAAATACAACATATCTGGGTGAACAACATATCCAAAAATCACCCAGATCAGTTCAGGGGTTCAGGAATTTCCTGGAAGTCGCATTTTTGCCCCACACTGCACATGGTCCCATGCCCAAAACAATTCCATACACTCAATGGCAAAACACTGCTGGACAATCCAAGATCGCCGCCGCCACATGTTTGAATCTGTTCCAGTTAAAAGTCCAAGGGGCAGAAACAGTGCCTTTAAAATCCATTATGCCCAAATAGTGTTTTTAAAGGGCAATATATCCCAGGGGCCGTAGTCACAGGGCTGGAAAGCAGGCCTCTCCAAATTCCAGTGACGAAGGTGCTTTCGTCACACATCTTCACTCCCAGGGGGAGACTAACCAGGTACCTGACATCCTGTCGGTCAGTACCTGAGTAGTCAAGCAGCCCACCCACAACCAAGTACTGCACCTGTAGTTCTCGGGTGTCCAGCTTTGTCCTGTCTTTCCCAGGCTGCAGAGGGCACGTCTGCCGCCCCTGATCTTCCTTGTGCTCCCAGGCATGGAGCTGTAGGTACGTGGTGGGCTGAGGCCAGCGGCGCTCTGCCCTGATGACAGCACTTCTGATGGAAAAAACCTGTAGGCAGTCAGGCTCTGGACCAAGGGAAAGGGGATGGCAGAGGCTAACAGTGCTCTGCCCGGATGCCAGCTCTTCTGCTGGAAGGGGTTCAGTGGGTATTGACATCTCCTCCACTACCCCTAGGACTCGGTTGGGCAGCTGCTGCTGGAGAGGGGAACCAGTTGTCCCATCTCTCTGTAAAGTGCACGGCCTCTGGGGAATGAGACCAGTAGCCTCCACTCCCTGTAGGACACACTGCTGCTGGGGAGAGAGAACGACTGTCTCCTGTCCCTGTAGGATGCACTGCCGCTGGGGAGAGGGACCGATTGTCTCCTCTGTCTGTAACGCTGCTTGGTGCTGGGTAGCAGTAGTGACCATCTCCACTCCCAGTGATGCTTGCTGCTGCTGAGATGAGGGACCGACAGTCTCCTCTCTCTGTGACACGGGCTGCCGCTGGGGAGAGAGACCGGTTGTCCCTTCTCCCTTTATAACACACTGCCACTGGAGAGAGAGAGACCGATTGTCTCCTCTCCCTGTAACGCTGCTTGGCGCTAAATAGTGGTAGCGACCATCTCCACTCCCAGTGATGTTTGTTGCTGCTGAGATGAGGGGCCGACAGTCTCCTCTCTCTGTCACACAGGCTGCTGCTGGGGAGAGAGACCGGTTGTCTCCTCTCCCTGTGAGATGCACTGCCACTGGAGAGAGAGACCAGTTGTCTCCTCTCCCTGGTAGGTAAGCTGCTGCTGGGGAGTCAGACCGATTGTCTCGACTCCTGGTACTGCTGCTTGGTGCTTAACCGCCTGCTGCTCCTGGGATGAGGGACCAACAATCTCCTCTCCCTGTACTACTGTCTGCTGCTGGGGAGAGAGACCGGTTGTCTCCTCTCCCTGTGAGATGCACT